TGTCTGTCTGTCTGTCTGTCTGTCTGTCTGTCTGTCTGTCTGTCTGTATCTATATCTATATCTCTCTATATCTCTATCTCTATATATATCTCTATCTCTATATATATCTCTATATATATATATCTCTATATCTCTCTCTATATATATCTCTCTCTATATATATATCTCTCTCTATATATATATATATCTCTCTATATATATATCTCTATATATATATATATCTCTCTATATATCTCTCTATATCTCTCTCTCTATATCTCTCTCTATACATATCTCTCTCTATATATATATCTCTCTATATATCTCTCTCTATATATATATATCTCTCTATATATCTCTCTATATATATATCTCTCTCTCTCTATCTCTCTCTCTTTATATCTCTCTATATATCTCTCTATATATCTCTCTCTATATATATCTCTCTATATATCTCTCTCTATATATATATATCTCTCTATATATCTCTCTATATATATATCTCTCTATATATCTCTCTCTCTATATATATATCTCTCTATATATATATCTCTCTATATATCTCTCTATATATATATCTCTCTCTCTCTATCTCTCTCTCTTTATATCTCTCTATATATATCTCTCTCTCTATCTCTCTCTCTCTGTCTCTCTCTTTATATATATGTATATATATATATATATATATATATATAAATACTAAAATAAACTACTACTTACTACTTGTACTACTATTCCTACGTTGTTTATTTTACTTATCGCGGGGCTTCAAGGTACAAATCCCTCGCTATAAGGGACTACTGTAATTACTTTCTGAGGTTCATTAAAATCTGTCCAATGTTTCATGAGATATTTTGCTGACGCTACAGCAAAACAAATGCACACTGGAAGCATTGTTACTGCTTCATCTTTGGCAGTGGGCAATATAAATCAAATAATGTCAGTAATTAGTTCATTGCAGTCATGATGTAGCTATAAAGAATATCAGAGTACATAATATAAACGTGATGTTTTGCCACTGGTTGTCGTTTCTTTTTGAGTGTGTTAACATCAGGTTCTCCCGATCATCTCCAGGTGGTACCACGGGCATCTCTCAGGAAAAGACGCAGAAAAACTGTTGACAGAAAAAGGCAAAGCTGGCAGCTTTCTGGTACGGGAGAGCCAGAGTCAACCGGGAGACTTCGTCCTCTCGGTTCTTACGAATGAAGAAAAACATGACAGTGCGGACCGCAAGACCAAGGTCACCCACGTTATGATTCGCTGCCAGGTGAAATAATTACAGATCATTTAAAATGTACAGTTTTACGATCATTTCATCACCCAGACTATCTGCTTTACATGATTTATTCTCCCGTTGAAGGACTTTCTCAGATCAGTTGTTGCTGTAATTTAACTTGTGTTCAGAAGGATGGCAAGTATGATGTGGGCGGTGGTGAGCGGTTTGACACCCTGGCTGACCTGGTGGACCACTACAAGAAGAACCCCATGGTGGAGAAAAGTGGCATCGTAGTGCACCTCAAACAGGTTTGGTAGTAAAAAAAAAAAACTGAAGCAGAAAACAATCAGCATTATAATTATATTGATAACTCTTTTATTCTATCAAAGATTATAGGTAAATATTAGTAATTTCTCACTCTGGTGCTGTTTAAAATAAGAATAGCATGTCATGGTCTTACTTTTAGTCTTCTTTTTTTCTGTGGCAGCCTTTTAACGCCACGAGGATAAATGCTGCCAACATTGAAAACCGAGTACGAGAACTCAACAAAGTCGCAGACAACTCTGAGAAGCCCAAACAAGGATTCTGGGAAGAATTTGAGGTTTGTTTTTCTTAAATTAGATCCAATACTAAAACATGTTGAAGCTTGCATTGTAGTTACTGCCCATTTAACTATTTTACTAGAAAAAGGAAAGTTAAAGCCTGATGATTCTAGTCAAGTTGGTGAGATGAGAAGCTGAATTGTGTCATGCAGGAAAACCAGCTCGTCCTTAATGTGGTTATTTTTGTCACGCATTTTACCCATCAACTAGTGAATAAAATTCTGGTGCATTTCGAGCACAAAACCAGGTTCTTGTGCAGAATAGTGTGGGGTTATTCAGTCATCCGTCCAAAGTTTAATTTTTCTTAGGTGATCTATTTTTTTTATGAATTTAAATTAACTGGTTGCAAGATTGTTGGAAATGAGTAATAGAGGCCACACATAATGAAAGTTAATTGGCTGTAACAGTAATCAGCAACACAGAGGGACATTTTTATCAGTATCTATTAAGGGAAACAGTGCAAGAATATTAGTTTGTTTAGGCTTGTTGTTCACCGTTGTAGAGGGAAAAGGAGGAATTGGAAATACCGTCTGTTTGTCCGTCTGTCCATCCATGTTGTATGATAACTTGAAAAGTATGTGAGGTACTGACTTCCATTTTAGTGTGTCTGCATCTAAGCGTAAAATAGGTCACTATAAAAAAAAATGGATTGCCAAGTCAAAATCCAGGAGGGACACCACCCTATATTGGTGCTTGAAAGTTCGTGAACACGTTCGAATTTTCTATATTTCTGCATAATTATGACCTAAAGCATAATCAGATTTTCACACACAAGGCCTAAAAGTTGATAAAGAGAACCCAGTTAAACAAATGAGACAAAAATAGTGTACTTGTTCAGTTATTTATTGAGGAAAATGATCCAATATTTTGTATATACAGTGTATACCAACCACCGTTATCATTTATGGAAACTGCGTTCTAGTTTTTATGTTGCTTAAAAGTATAGTTACCTCAAGTAACTGGGGTGGCTGAAGAATTATCATTGACCACCTCCCGGCTCTGCCATTTGAGCCTGGTCCTGGATAAAATTTCTCCCTTCACTCGCCAGGATCCGTCTCTCTGCACTGCCTGGGATCAGCAAGAAAATAAATAAAATACCTACGTCTCTTCTTCTTATACACTGTGTAACTCCTACCCACTTGAATATCCATCCATCCATCCATCCATTATCTTTACCCGTTTATTCTGTTTTGGGGCACGGGGGTTGCTGGTGCCCATGTCCAGCAATCACTGTGCGAGGGGCGGGGTACACCCTGGACGGGTCGCAAGTCCATCACAGGGCCACATAGAGACAAACGAGACAAACAACCATTCACTCTCTCACTCACTCACACCTAGGGACAATTTAGAGTTACCAATCAGCCTAACATGCATGTTTTTGGTCTGTGGGAGGAAACCGGAGTACCCGGAGAGAACCCACGCATGCACAGAGAGAACATGCAAACTCCACCCAGAAGGCCCCTGGACCGGGGTTTGAACCAAGGACCTGCTCGCTGAGAGGCAGCAGCTCTACCAGTTGCGCCACCGTGCTGCCCCCCACTTGAATATCTTGCACCAAAAACGTTAAGGTTTACTTACATGCCCTGTTCAATTCCAAACCATAAAACCTTGAAAAACATCTTGAAAAGTACAAACCTTCACTATTCAAACTCCTCAGCAACAGGGGACAGCAACGTACTGCTTACTTGGTATAGACTAAGGTTTTAGTGGGACAGTCATGAACTGTATATCAAAGCTGTACTTGGTGTAATCTACATTTAAAATATAATTACCAAACAAGGATTGCTGAAAAGTAGTTTTTCATCATATCACCAGTATTCTGAAGTATGCAGCTTTCTTGTTATTGCACTATAGGGTGACCTCTGCTGTAATCACAGCCCATTACATCATCAAACATTATTCTCAGTGTTGCATAAAATGTCTGTAGAGTCATCAGTACTTTATCACTTTGTTCAGGACTTGTTCAAAATCTTTTACAAAAAATATTAATTGAAATACTTTCTTTTCTTGTTTATTTTGTCAAATATTAGGTACTTCAACAGCAAGAGTGCAAACTGTTGTATCCCAGGAAAGAAGGCCAGAAGCCAGAAAACAAGAGTAAAAACAGATACAAGAATATCCTCCCCTGTGAGTCACGCAGCGACCTGACATTTCCTGTCTCTCCAGCTTCCTGTGGAAAGAATGACACGAACAGAAAAGAGTCAACGTAGACGGCTGAGCGCAGCATAAAGATTGCGCTTTGATAACCGGCAGCCTGTCAGATAGTGTTAAACTTCTGTTATCTCTGGAAACTGTGGCGTTGCTGTGGATTAATTTGTATAACTTCATGTTTACAGTTGACACAACGCGAGTTGTAATCAAAGAAACCGATCCAGAAGCTCCTGGTTCAGATTACATCAACGCCAACTATATCATAGTGAGTCTGTTTTAAGAAAAGGACACAACTAGAACTAAAATGTTTTTAACTAAACTCTACAAGTTAATCAGCATTAAAACACCCTCCTCATACCAAAATACTAAATTTAATACCCGATCGTTCATGTTCAATAACAGAGTACGCATGAAGATGGACGGCACGTAGAGGAGAGCAAAGTGTTCATCGCCACCCAAGGGTGCCTACAGAACACGGTGGCAGACTTCTGGAAGATGGTGTATCAGGAGAACGCACACGTCATCGTCATGACCACAAAGGAGATGGAGCGAGGAAGGGTGAGGAGTTTGCATTGAAGGTGCATTTTGCACAAGTTTTTGTGTTTGTGTGTGTGTGTTAGAACAGGTACAGGAGTCTCTCGCTACTTCACAGTTTGTTTATCGCGGACTCGCTCTGTCGCAGTTTTTCAAAATAAATTTGGACATGACACACAATTGGCTGATTGATGGATGAGCCGCACGATCGGCATGAAATTTTTATTTAAAATGAATTATTTTAAATTATTTATCACCTGCTGCACATTTGTTCAGCCCAGAGCTGCAGAAAAAGCTTTCTCCTGCACCTTTGTGTAGCCCTTACTGCAGGATAAGCTTCCTGCTGCAGCTGATCAGCTGTTCAGCATGCAAAGTGGAAATGTGGGCGTGGCCAAGAGCGCTTGCAGGTGGCTGAGAGCAGCGGAGGCAGGGAGCTGAAATCATGACATGCTGTGCTCTTTTAGAGAGTTTAGAAACATTGTTTAGAATATTGCAAGAGTGCGCCAGATGCCCTTCCTGACGTAACTACAGGCCACCGAGCTACCACAGCCCTCTGTGGAGCAGGGAGAGGCTGACTAGAGCGCCCGGGGGAGCAGATGGTGGGGGTTAAGGGCCTTGATCAAGGGTCCAGAGTGGAGCAAATGAAGGTGGAGGCGGGTGTGCGTGCTTCACCTTTCCTACCCACATTTTGATGTTGTCAATCCGGGGGATCAAACCGACGACCTTCCATCGCAGGCTCGCCTTCTCTAACCTCTGCCGCACCACTCCCCCAAAAGCTCCATTGTATTTCACCTAATGTTTCGCCTGCAATTTATTTTTTGTCGATGGATTTAGGCAATAGTTGATCGGGCGAACCAACAGATTTTAAATAATGAAAAATGTAAATACATAAACTTTAAACGGTGTTTGTAAAGCTCGGTGCTGCTCCTTGTACAGACACTGACCTAAACAGGTGAGAAAGTGATTCAAGTTTCAGTAGATCGAATTAAATTTGAGCTGAACAAACTTGTCTAAATGTCGTCGTTTTTGTATTTTTCTGTGTAAGTCGTTGTTGGATAGCACTGATTCTGGGATGAGAAGGTTTGTGCATCAGCTGTAGAGTTGATTGTTTGTACTCGTGTCTCGGTGGTGGGGGGTGGACAGGAACACGGTAAGCAGGGGATAATATGACAGATAAGCTGATTGAAAAGCTGCTTGAGATGAGCTTCTTCTTCAGCCTAAAACTCACCACCCTCCCCCTCTCTTTCTCTTCATATATTTTTTTTTTCTTGCGATTCAGAATAAATGTGTTCGTTACTGGCCAGACCTCCACTCCACTAAAGAGTTTGAAAAGTTGCTGGTGAGGAATGTGGAAGAGCGCCCTGCTCAGGACTACATCCTGAGGAAGCTGGAGGTCACACGTCTGGACCGGGTATGAAAGGTTCTGCCTTGAGTTTGAGCTGATTTACTGACCAGACACACTCCTCCAGAACCTACAGGGGGACCGAATGGATCCCAAAGACCCATTAGAAGATACGGAGGAGTTTAGTGGCCAAAGTGCATGTCAGCCTATTTAAAGTCATTTTATTTACAAAAAGCTATAGCTTAAACTTAATTTTTACTGATTATCATTTTTTGAGATAACACACTCATTTTAATAATTTGAATTGTCTAATTTAAACTGTTTTTTACGTCTTAATTTTGAGTTTACGTCTAAAATAATTGTTTTGTTCTTTATTTTTATATAATTTATTTTATTTATAAGTTTATTAATTAAAAAAACAATTCAATATACAATAAGAAATACAATCACAAATAAAATGAAAGGCAGCAAAAAGAAGAAAAAAATCTTTTAATATCTGCATAATCTTCAAATAACAAAAACAAAATAAATAACTCCTTCTCGAGCAACAATTTATACCAATACACATCAAGCTATTTCATATTTTTTTTTAACAAACCAACTTTGATCATTCTCTTAAACATAGACATTGATCTGGCATTTTTAGCATCACTCTCCAGATTATTCCATAATCTAATTCCTTGGATTGAGGTAGACCGTTCCTTCAGACTAGTCCGAAATTTAGGTTTCATAAAGATTTCCATCCCCTTAAGATTATAACAACTCTCTCTTTTAACAAAATTTATTTGGATATTTAAAGGTAATGTATTATTATGAGCCATATAACTGATAAAATATTATAATCTACCAAATCATGGAATTTCAATAACTTCAGTTGATAAAATATTGTGCTTGATTTATGACTGAAATGCTTCCTGGTAATAATTCTTACAGCTCTTTTCTGTAAAACAAAAATAGGATTTAAAATTGTTTTGCACGCTTTCCCCCAAGCATCAGTACAATAGATAAAGTGTGGAACAATGATTGTGTTATATAACATACAGAGCTTTATCATTCAATAATTCCCTTACTTTGTACAGTACTGCAAGTTACACAGATACAATAATACTTGGACTTTTTCTTTCTTCTCACTGTAGAGAGAGCCTCTGAGGTACATCTGGCACTATCAGTACCTGAGCTGGCCGGACCACGGGGTGCCTAATGAGCCCGGTGGGGTCCTCTGGTTCCTGGAGGAGGTCAACCGCACACAGAGCACCATTAAAGATACCGGACCCATTGTTGTGCACTGCAGGTACAGCAAAGATAGACAGTTAGAAAAGACTGTGTGTGTTTATATAACAAACTGGAAAGGTATGTCAAATATCAATGGAATTAAACCAAATCTAAAAATGAAGTGTTTGACACATTGAACTGAAGAACCTAAAAAGTGTTTTTTAAGTTAAAAACAAATGTTTTCTTTCAGCCGAGGTTGAGTCGGCTTCTCTGGATGGATTCTTATTAGTGAAACGTTTCATCAAAGAAGAATCCGTGCAGAGGAGCTCACTCAACCTAGTCAGATTTATCTACCTGTCTGAGATATGACTGTTTTCATTCATTCTGACAGAAAATATTGAACACTACCATTTTCAGCCACTAGATGGCAGTCAAGTAGTATGGCATGCTGTTGTCATGTAATAGGTAAAAGGGGCTGATAATGACACAGTCAGCTTGCCATAGCCTGCCACCTTCGTTCTGCTCGCTTGGAGCAAACGTCAGATCAGCTTCATTTCGCTGCGCCACCCCGGTGAAATGCAGCTAAGTGAAGTGCATTTATTAAATAAAAGTTCAATTGAGACATACCTTTACTATAAAGTCGAGCAAACAAATAATTGTTTTAGGTGCTTATCTTGTTCAATTTCGAAGAAATGCGTAGCGTTCCTCCTTCCTGATTTCTTCTCTCTGCGTGCTCCCAGAGCACCGAGGCAGCAAATACTTTTGAAATGCAGCTGATTTGACCTTAAAGTATTTTTATTAAGTAAAAGTTCAACAGAGACACACCTTTACTATAAAGTCGAGCAAACTTAACAAATAATTGTTTTTAGGTGTTTATCTTGTTAATTTTCGAAGAAATGCACAGCGACTCATCCCTCTGCACATTCCTACTTCTGCATATCGGCTTTTGAAATGCAGCTGATTTGACCATCAAAGTGCATTTATTAAGGACTTATAGGGCGGTGCAACGCGTACGGCGGAAAATACGATATCTTAAACTGAAGAGTCCCAAAACTGTGGTGAGGCGTAAATAAGGGCCTACATGGTAAAGAAAAAAATCAGTTTTGGTGGTAATAATTGTGAAAATGGATGCAGGTAAAAGTCAGTAGAAGTACTACAAACTACGAAACCAAGCAGGTCATTCTGAGGTCAAGGGAGATGATATTTAACAAAAGTTCATAAAGACTCTGAAGATGTTAAAAAAAAAACTTCTGTTCGGTAAGCTGCAGCACTTCATTGGTCAGGTCTGTTTGCTGGGAGTTATATCAAGCAGGACTAAAACACCACACAGCCCCATACCGAAAAAAATCAAAGAAAAACTGGAGCCTGAAATGAGATTGTTGGTTTAATGCAGAAACATAAAGACCAGACAAAACTGAAGTGGCTTCAGATCATAGAGTTCGGATTCCTCTGAGAAGTTCTGTCTTTCTTGACATCTTTTAAAATAAACTTAAAAAAAAAAAACATTTTATAACACACTAGAAAATCTGTTTGAATGGACAAAAACTGCTCAACTTAAAGTACCTGTGACATCAAATTTTCATGGTAAATATGAATACTGCATTATTGTAGAAGTAGCATTAATAACAAATCCCATTCATCCATTTTCTTCTGCTTATCCGGGGTCGGGTCTTGGGGGTAGCAGCTTAAGTAGGGAGGCCCAGACTTCCCTCTCCCCAGCCACTTGGGCCAGCTCCTCCGGGGGAATTCTGAGATGTTCCCAAGCCAGCCAAGAAACAGTCCTTCCAGCATGTCCTGGGTCTTCCTCTGGGTCTCCTACCGGTGGGATGTATCCGGAACACCTCACCAGGGAGGTGTCCAGGAGGCATCCTAACCAGATGCCTGAGCCACCTCAACTGGCTCCTCGACATGGAGAAGCAGCAGCTCTACTCTGAGTCCCTCCCGGATGACCGAGCTTCTCACCCTATCTCTAAGGGAGAAAACTCGCTTGTATCCGTGATCTCTTTCTTTCAGTCACAACCCAAAGCTCATGACCATAGATGAGGGTAGGAACGTAGATTGATCGGTAAATTGAGAGCTTCGCCTTTTGAATCAGCTCTCTCTTCACCACGACAGACTGGTACAACACCCGCTTCACTGCAGACACCGCACCTATCCCCCTATCGATCTCTCGCTCCATTTTTCCCTAATTCGTGAACAAGACCCAGAGACACTTAAACTCCTCCACTTGGGGCAGGGCCTCCTCCCCGACCCGGAGAGGGAACTCTACCCTTTTCCAGCTCAAGACCATGGCCTTGGATTTGAAGGATCTGATCCTCATCCCGGCCGCGTCGCACACGGCTGCGAACCGCTCCATTGAAAATTGTAGATCACGACCTGATGAAGCCAATAAGACCACATCATTTGCAAAAAACAGAGACACGATCCTAAGGTCACTAAAACAGATCCTCTCAACACGTTGGCTGCGCCTAGAAGTTCTGTCCATAAAAGTTATGAACAGAATCTGTGACTAGGGGCAACCTTGGCGGAGTCCAACTCTCACCAGGAACGAGCCCGACTTACTGCCAGCAATGCAGACCAAGCTCTGACCCCAGTCATACAGGGACCTAACAGCCCGTACATTAATAACTACATTAATAACTCATTGAAAAATTATTTGCATTGCTGAGATATACAGTCACCCATGTCACTGAAAAGTTGTATAAGCAGTAACAGGAAGGGACGACTGAGAGGAACGCCTGCGTGCAAACAGCATCGCTACAATAACTAACACGGATCATTAGAATATATTGAGTCACTATCTGAGAGAGACGGATAATGTCTGCTATCATCAGATGGCAGAGCACTAGCTTTGGGTGTCGCTTGTTATTTGTTTGAGCTCCTGGTACAGCCGACGACTCAACATGCCGGTCAAGTGACCGAAGGTAAAGCTGAACATTTGTCGTTACTTCCAGTTGCACTTCGGCCGCGCAAAGTTCCAAACAAAAATACGTTCATTCTGTGACAAAATGGATTTCTATTAAATTTCTGTCCTAAAATAATGTGTATTATTCCACGGTTGTCTTCCAATTTTCTATGTATAGGAAAGCGTGTGGCAGGAACTTTAAATTGTCCAAATTCTGTTTAGATTTGTCCAAGAAATTGTACTTCTTCAAAATAATTTGGGCTCCAATATTTGAATTAGATTTGATTAGATTGTCTAAAATATATAAATGAGTTCCAACTGTCCTTTCTTTTTCAATAAGTTGAATTTAAAAAATAAAAATCATAGTAAAAATTGCCAGATTAACAGTTTTAATCATTCTAGGTTGAAATCAGTCATCATAAATATAAAAACTGGGTTCACAATTAAAAAATATATTTAGAAAAATCTAACAAATCATAGGTTCTAAGGGAAGGATTAACCCTTAGAGGCCGATTAAGCCTTTACCTGAGACATTTTTTAGGATTCTTCACTGAGATTAGATCCTTTAATTGGCTTAATCTGAAACTTAATACTTTATAGGAATACAGTGGTGTAATAGTGACAGGACATGCTGTCCTGCCTGTACAACCAGTGAGTCTTTTATTATGTGTAACCAGAGTGTTAATATGTGTGGAAGACAAAATAATCCAGTTTTCTATATCACATTAGAGCTCGCAGTGCACTGCATGGATTAAATATTTAATATTTTCTTCATTTCCTGGTTTGTTCTGGGAGGCTAAACTCACCATCGGTTCACTGTTTATTTGATTTTTTTTTCATGTTTTGTCTGTTTTTCATCAGACGTTTCTTTATATGATGATTTTCTAAAATGCTTAAATTGGCCACTGGGGTGTGCTAAAATTAAGACCCAAATTTAACCCTCATCATATGATAAACATAGATGTTCACTTTAATACAGCCAACTTATTAGAACTGTCTGGAATTAAGTGTTATTTTAATCATAAACTGTCATTGTTTTTGTACTTTTAAAGGAAAGTCAGAAACATCTGAACTAAGAAACCTCAGATTGAGTTTGATTTTAATATTTTGGCTTTTTTTTTTTAACTAGTTACAGATCTACTAGAGGTCAGTGACTCTTTCCCATATTGTCACCTGCTGATAAATTCATGTTTTATTGTGAGCTCAATAAAGTTCTCCTTCATCTAACTGCACTTCATGTGACACAGCAGCAAATTATTCAAGAATTTACATTTAAATTTAATGCTGTCAAAAGTATTTATTGGTAGAATAACCTCAACTGTCAGCGCTCACACATTAATTTTATAGCATCGTTAATAAATTATGTCAACAATAACAGATGCGTTTGACTTTCCTCAGTGTGTCTGAGATAAATGTGTGACCAGGACCCTGCAAGACTTTAACTTGCAGCTCATTTGCATTTTGCAATCAGTGAAGCGACTACGCTACGCATGTCAGAAAATTTAATTAAAAAAAAAAAACATTTAATACTGCAACAAAGAAATCAAAAATAAATATAAAGTTCCTAATAACTGGATAAAATAGGTTATTTACATGTTTTATTTTTAGTTGACTGACGATGCAAAGTTTCCTCACATGGAACTGGAGTTCATGTTTTTGACCCATCACTGTTGTCTCTTTAGTGCAGGCATCGGCAGAACCGGTACCATCATCGTCATCGACATTCTCATCGACGTCATCAGCAGACAAGGTGAGCATCCCAAGGAAATACGGTCCGATTCTTTGTTCCGCACTTTTGCTCATTTCTGGATCTGTGCGCTCAAGGTCTGGACTGTGACATCGACATCCCAAAGACCATCCAGATGGTACGGCAGCAGAGATCGGGCATGGTCCAAACAGAGGCCCAGTATAAGTTCATCTACATGGCGGTGCAGCAGTACATAGACACGGCCCAGAAGAGACTGGAGGAGGAGCAGGTAAACTGAAATACTGTAGACGAGTAAAATGACAACAAAAATAAGGAATGCATATCGCCCGCTGCCCTTCATGCCAGAGTTTTAAACTAAGATTATTTTAAAAAGAGTCTGGATGGAGTTGGAGCGGTTTTGGTCAAATCTTATAAATTTTATTACACACCATCATATGCGATATTGAGAGTTCTTAGAGCTTTGCCAAAAGTATTCGCTCATCCATCCAAATCACTGAATTCAGCTCTTTTGACCACTTCCATAGCCACAGGTGTATAAAATCAAACGCCTAGGCGTGCAGACTGCCTCTACAAGAGTTTCATGGAACGGTTTTCCATGGCCGAGCAGCTGTAAGCCTTTCAACACCAAGTGCAAGCATCGGATGCAGTTTTTTTTTTTGTTTTTTGTTTTTCTGATGGCCTCCCTTCTCCCCTTACAGCCATCCTCTCCACACCATTATTATGAAATATTTATTATAGTGACTATCTAGTGTAGGTGTTGTTGTTTATTTATTTATTTATTTATTTATTTATTTATTTTTTTAATAGAATAGAAAGAAAGAAAAGACAAAGTAAGACTCCAAAATATAAGAAATATATACAAATAGAGCACACGTCAAAACACCCGGCCACTGTCTGTTCACCTGCAAAGAACATGACAAAACACAGCAACAAAATACATATGTATAAAGAACTTAAAATATTCATGGCTTTGCAGTAAGTTTCCATAAATATATATACCCATACCTACTCCTATATACATACATACATACATACACATGAATATACACTCACATACATATCTATATATCTAGATATAAAGCCTAAGCATCCCTGCTTCTATTTGTGTGTGGTTGTGAGCATGCATAAGTGTATAAGGCTTCTCTAATAGAACATTTAATAGTAACTGTGAAGCAGCAGAGACCCGACCCCCAAGACCAGAGGCAGACGAAAAAGGGGGGACCAGAGCCCAAGACCCCAGGAGGGACCCCGACCGCGGAGCCCCCAGAGCCACCCACACAGGACGAACCACTCACCCACCCCCCAGAACGGACCACAGGGGAGAACCGGAAGATCCCCACCAGCAACCACATACAGTGAAACCCCGGGGCCAACAGCGACAAACTCATAGGCCTCCGTCGGCACCCGCCGCACCGATGTAGGTCCAGGTCCAGGCACCGAGGCCCGGGCACCGAGGACTCACACCACCCAGGCCAAGGCCCGACAGGGCCAGAGGACCCGAGCCCCACCAGGCAGACACCAGGCCGAGCCGACACACGCCCAAGCGCCCAGCCCCCGATACCAAGGGCCCCAAGCGCGCCGGCAGGCAAGGGCACACCCCACCAGGGGGCCGCGCGATAGAGGCGCGATGCCAAGCACCCCCAGTTGTATCAAAGAGGGGGCAGTCCGAGTCTCGGCCTAACAAATACCCATTCATACACAGTCACAATCATACAATCCCAACCTCAATCTCACATTCACTCACTCAAAGACATACAATAACGATACATTTCATTCTTATTCCCGATACGCACTCTATACCCCCCAGGTCCAAGACATGTACCCGCCCTCTACAGGGGGCAGCCCATGCCCAAACCCAGGAGGTAAACCCATTCATTCTTGAGCGGAGAAGAGCCAATACCCCAGACCCGGCCCAGGCCATACCCCGCCGACAGGACACCCCCCCACTATGAAGAGGACACGCCACCGACCACCCCCACACACCGCCAACAACCAAGCAAATGCAGTTTTGTAAAGCACGCCGCCACTGGACCCTGGAGCAGTGGACAATCTGGAGTAACTCTGTCTGGCCGTCCGATGGACAAGTCTGGGTTTGGTGGTTGCCAGGACAACGGGACTTTGGTCAAGTGTAAAGTTCCGTGGAGGGGGAATTATGCCGCAAGGTTTTTCAATAGTTGGGCTCTGCCATCTACCGTAGTTCCAATAAAATGAACACTTAATGCTTTAGCATACCAAAGACAAAGACAGTTACTACCCACAAGCTGTCAGATTACTGAACTCTTGATAATAACACTGAACTTTTGTTAATAACACTGAACTTTTGTTAATAACATTGAACTTTTGATAATAACACTGAACTCTTGATAATAACATTGAACTTTTGATAATAACACTGAACTCTTGATAATAACACTGAACTC